TAAGAATTACCAAGAAATGTCTGAATGGAAATTTGGGTGAAGAGCATCATACTTGCATGGTTTTTAAGTGTCTTTCCACAGATTACTCCAGAATTGCAAGGAAATAATAACTATGTAGTAGACAAATGGGTTAATACCTTGATTGGATGGTCAAAGTTAATATCACTAATAAGGGGCAGATGCAGATTGTCTTCACCGGGATGTGATACTCTGAAGGATCTGACGGCATTTAGGCACTGATTCAGGAGTGCATATTTTGCATCTAATCATGAGGAAACATTAGGTAAACCCAAAATGAGAAACATTCTATTCTAAAAAGAGCTAAAAAAAAAAAAAAATCCCACAATACACAATTCTAGGAGTATATTAAAGAGGCACAGGAATCAACTGAAACATTTCCTAATGGCCAGTACTGGAACAGTTTGAACAACAAAATAAAATACTATTGGACTATAACTCAAAAGTATAAAATAAACATCCTTAAGTCTATAGTGATACAAGTAAGTAAATCAGTTGGTGAGAAGAGACCAATCTAATGCAGAACTCCAAATCGACTCTGCCCACAGGGAGGTGGAGCATAAATCCCACTCCATAAACATGGGCTGTGCGGAGTGACTTCCTTTAAAAAGTACAGTATGCAGGGCGCCTGGGTGGCTTAGTCGGTTAAGCGTCCGACTTTCGCTTAAGTCATGATCTCGCAGTTCATGGGTTCGAGCCCTGTGTCGGGCTCTGTGCTGACTGCCAGCTCAGAGCCTGGAGCCTGTTTCAGAGTCTGTCACTTCTTCTCTCTCTGACCCTCCCCTGCTCACGCTGTCTCTCTCTCTCTCCTAGAAATAAATAAAACATTAAAAAAAAATAAAGAGTACAGTATGCAAATTAGAAACATGAGTAACTTTACAATGCAGAAATCTGACAAATACTGTCTTAGCCAGGTGAGCAAGGTTAACAACAGGGATAAGTCATATTGATAGTTTCATGTACTATTGATATAGATGATGAAAGTAGCACTTTACCTCTCTTATCTTTCTCCCAAAAATACCTAGCCCCAGTTTGATCATGAGGAAAACATCAAATAAGTTCGAGTAGAGGCACTTGTTAAAAAATACCTGACTATATTTCCTTAAAACTGTCAAGGGCAATAAACACAAAGAAAGTCTAAGAAAGTGTTACATGTAAGGGGAGCCTAGAAACTTGACTGCCAAGTATAATATATGCTGGATGGGCTCCTGAAATAGGAAGAGGACATAAATAAAAACTAAGGAAATTGAAGGACGCCTGGGTGGCTCAGTTGGTTAAGCGTCCAACTTCAGCTCAGGTCATGATCTCACGGTTCATAGGTTTGAGCCTCGCAACAGGCTCTGCTGACAGCCAGCTCAGAGCCTGGAGCCTGTTTCAGATTATGTGTCTCCCTCTCTCTGCCCCTCCCCTGTTCATGCTGTCTCTCTCTCTCTCAGAAATAGATAAGAAACATTAAAAAAATAAGCATTAAAAAAAACTAAGGAAATTGAATATACAGATATTGACAGGATGATTCATAATAGCAAAAAAGGAACCAACCTTCGTCTGTCAACTGATGAATAAGTAAAATGTGGTGTATTCATACAACAGCATACTGTTGAGCCATAAAAATGAATGAAGTTCTGATATATGGTGTAACACAAATGAACCTTAAAAACATGCTAAGTGAAAGAAACCAGAAATAGAAGGCCACATGTTACATGATTCTATTTATATGAAATACCAGAATAGGCAAATTCATGAAGACAAAAAAACTAATTCATTTATTAGTTACTAGGAGCTAGGAGAGGTGGGAGAAATGAGAGAATGACTGCTTTGGGGTAATGGATTTCTTTTTGGAGTGATTAAAATGCTTTGGAATTAGATAATGGTGATGGTTGTATAACTTGTAAGTATGCTAAAAACCACTGAAGTGTACATTTAAAGTGGCGAATTTATGGTATGTAAATTATATCTAAAATTTTTTAAACTAAGGAAATAAGAATAAAGTATGGAATTCAGTTATTCAGAAATGAGAGAGGAGGGTACTGTATTCAGAATGTCAGTGTTATAAAAGACAGACTGGCAAACTTTCAGATTTGTTGAGATTAATGAGATGACAACTAAAGGCAATGTATGATCTCCAACTGGATCCTATATGGTGGTAGGTAAAGGTTATAAGTCATCATATGGTCTGTTGACAAAATTGTAATAAAGATAGTAGGCTAGATTAAAAATATTTGATTAGTGTTAAAGGTAGTTTATATAATCATAATAGTTTATATTTTGATTATATAAAAACATTCTTAATTTTGGTAAATAGATATTTGGAGATAAAGGGACATGATGTATGTAACTGGCTCTCAGATTATTCAGGAAAAAATTTGTGTACATATATTCACAGAGGAGAGAGATACACGTAATATATATATGTATGTGTGTGTGTGTGTATATATATATATATATATATATATACACACACACGCATGTATTTTGTATTCTCGCAAAATCATTTTGCTACATAGTTAAGGAAAACCAAGGTTGAATAGTAAGTGTTAAGATATACAACAATGGGAACTATTACTACTTTAGATTAGGATGTAAATCTTTTGAAACAGTTGTAAAATAATTTGGAATATGACTTCAATATAAAAATACAGTCAGTTGTTGTTGTCTTCTACATACCCTAACTTTGCTTTTAGGTATACACCTTCAAGAAATTCCTCTACATGTGTACCAGGAAATATACCCAACAGGAACCTTATTTGTAATAGCCAAAAATTTGTCAGGGGGGTGGGGTGGAGAACTCTATCAGTGGAGGAATATTTTATTTATTTTTTAAAGTTTATTTATTTCGAGAGAGAGACAGCATGAGTCAGGGAGGAGCAGAGAGAGGAGAGAATATCTCAACCAGGCTTCGTGCTCACGCCTGTGCAGAGCCTGATATGAGGCTGAACTCACGAAGCCACGATATTATAACCTGAGCCAAAACTAAGAGTTAGAAGCTTAACTGACTGAGCTACCCAGGCTCCTGTCAATGGAGGAACATTTTAATACAGCTGAAAATGAATAAACTATAGCATGTATCAACATATGCATTCTCAAAAAGAATGCCGAGTAAAGAACAAGTCACTGAGTGATGTAACCAGAAACATTGCATTTATATAAAGATTAAAACCAGACCAAATAAACAGTGCATTGTTTAGGGCTGCACAGCTATGTGAGAAAATTGTATTACTTGTTGAGGGTGAGGGAGGAACTCTTGATCAGGGAGGCACACAGGGACTTGGAAAGTGCTAGTGACACTATGTCTTAAACTGGTTGATGTGTAAACAAGGGTTCATTCTAAACTGTTCTTCTAAATAGTGTCTTGTAAACTATTTATAAATACTTGTATGTGTGTTTCTTAATTAAAAAAATTTTCAAACCACAGAAAACTCTCCAAGCCAAAAAATAAAGGTTATAAGTCATTAAATGAGCAAAACAGGTTCTAAAATAGTATGTGTATTACAGTTTTTTGTTAAGAAATTGCATATACATCTATATCTTTGTGTTTAAATGGAAATAGAAATTAGTCTAAGAAGATAAACACAAAAATGGGTTGCTCCTTAGGAAATAAGATTTCTAGAGAACTTTTACATTATACTTCTCTATATTTATTTCTGAAATCTGTGAGCATTTATCATCCTTGCTCACATATGAGATTATATTTTATCTTTACTGCTGTTGAATAAGGAGCATAAAGGTAGGGTCCATGTGTTACACATAACTTCTCTGGATTTATTTATTTTTAAATTTTTTTTTTTTAAGAGAGCACGCATGAGCAGGGGAGAGGGGCAAAGGGAAGAAGAGAGACAGACAGAATCTTAAGCAGGCTCCACACTCAGTGCCGAGCCTGATATGAGGCTTGATCCAACAACCCTGGGATCATGACTTGAGCTGAAATCAAGAATTGGATGCTCGGGGCGCCTGGGTGGCTCAGTCAGTTAAGCTTCCGACTTCAGCTCAGGTCATGATCTCACGGTTCGTGGGTTCGAGCCCTGCGTCAGGCTGTGTGCTGACAGCTAGCTCAGAGCCTGGAGCCTGTTTCAGATTGTGTGTCTCCCTCTCTCTCTGACCCTCCCCTGCTCATGCTGTCTCTCTCTCTCTCTCTCTCAGAAATAAATAAAACATTAAAAAAAAAAAAAAAAAGAGGGGCGCCTGGGTGGCTTAGTCGGTTGAGCGTCCGACTTTCGCTTAGGTCATGATCTCGCGGTTCGTGGGTTCGAGCCCCACGTCGGGCTCTGTGCTGACTGCCAGCTCAGAGCCTGGAGCCTGTTTCAGAGTCTGTGACTCCCTCTCTCTCTGACCCTCCCCTGCTCATGCTGTCTCTCTCTCTCTCTC